GAGGCAGGAGACTCGCTTCAGCCCAGGAGTTGGAGGTTGCTGTGAGCTGTCATGCCAGGGCACTCTACCCAGGGGGACAGCATGAGGCTCTATCTCAAAAAAAAGAAAGAAAGAAAGAAAAGATGACGATAACTATGCAAATGGATCAAAGGAATAAATAAGAAAGTTAGGTCTCAACTCTCTGGAATATTATTCCCCCCATTTTTTTTTTTTAAGAGACAGAGTCTTACTTTATCACTCTCGGTAGAGTGCTGTGGTATCACAACAGCTCACAGCAACCTCCAACTCCTGGGCTTAGGCCATTCTTAGGCGATTCTCCTGCTTTAGCCTCCAGAGTAGGTGGGACTACAGGCGCCCACCCGGCTATTTTTTTGTTGTTGTTGCAGTTTGGGTGGGGCCAGGTTTGAACTTACCACCCTGTGTATATGGGGCTGGCGCCCTACCCACTGAGCCACAGGTGCCACCCCCATTCCCCAAATTTTAGGCCTTAGATGTAAATGAGGAAGATAAGAACCTCAGGGCAGGCTATTTACATGCCCATATTTCTGTCTATAGGCACCTGCTTCACCACTTGAATAACCATGCCACTACAAATCATCACCTTTGATAAGTCACATAGGTGGATCTATACCTTTGGTGGTAGACCGATGCGGTTGAAACGTTGCCCAACTTTTGGCACTTTCTCTAGTGCAAGCCGCTTTCCCCTGGACTTCACTCGATCAATGGCACTATAATTGAAGGTCTCACTGGCTAGGTATACTACCTATATTGGAAAAAGAAGAGACACATAGGTCAGAGCCAAGTTTAAGGAACCAGACTACTATGGCAGAGAGTACATAGCTACATGCTCAACCAGTACTACTCCTCTTCCAGGGCACAGAGAAAGAATGCATTTCTTGGCCTTCCTAGCAACTAGAATAGGAAAGATAACTCAGGCCAATGGAATGTTGACAAGGTGAGGTATGTATGAGCACATCATTTTCAGGCCTGGGCCCTAAAATCTCCCCATCCTGAGTTCACATTCCATAAATAGAGCTGAAAAGGAATGGCTCTGAAATGGCAAAGCCACACCATGGAAGGACCCCAGATCCTTTTTTCCTATACAAGGAGAACTAAGAGAGCTGCCTAACTAGCATGGGTCTATGATATGATCAAGAAATAAAGTCTTATTGTATTAAACTATTGAGATTAAGGGGTTGTGACAGCAGCCAGTATGAATTATAGTTATCTCCCAGGTCAAAAGAATAAGCCAAAATGCCAATTTTCTTTCTAGATAAAAAAAATTGCAGTTTGGAGGCAGCACCTGTGGCTCAAAGGAGTAGGGCGCCAGCCTCATGTACCAGAGGTGGCAGGTTCAAACCCAGTCCCAGCCAAAAAAAAAAAAAAAAAACAGTAATAAAACAAATTGCAGTTTGTACCCTTTTATTTCCTTTTGAATTTTTTACTTTGTGCAATTATTCATATTAAAAAAATTGATTTTCACTTTTAATGGATTGCTATATTTATTCACAGATTCTATCTGGAATATTACACAAAAAAACTAGTAATAGTGGCCACCTCTGAGGAAGGAAACTGAGTGACCAGGAGACAGGGATAGGAGGGAGTCAGAATTATTTTTCTCTGTTTATTCCTCTGTGCTTTGTGATTCTGTACCCGACACATGCTCACCTATTCAAAAAACATTTTTAAGCCATCAATATTATATTTGATTGTCAAATTGTGGTGATAGCACTATAATGTATAATTGCATTCATTGTCACACTTATCACATGGCCTTGAAATTTATCCATTTATATACCTAACTCTATTATAGGCAGTGACTCATGCCTAAGGCCAGTAGGTAGTTTTAGAACAGCCTGAGCAACAAACCAAGATCCCATCTCTACAAAAAACACAGAAAAATCAGCTGGGTGTGGTGGCCCATTCCTCTATAGGAGGCAAAGGCAGAAAGATCCATTAAGCCCAAGAGTTTGAAGTTACAGTGAGCTGTGATAACACCACTGCACTCTAGCCCAGGCCAAAAACGAACAAACAAATAAAAAAACTAATGAGACTTAAGGAAGCAGAAAACATGTGTACATACATTAGCATCCCCAGCACCTAACAATGCTTGGAGCATTCTCATTCAGTATTCAAGTGAATGAATGAATGAATGAATGAGCTACAAGCTTCTTTCATAGATAGCAACAAGTGGGTTTTAGCATATAAATACCTAAAATCAAATTCTTTTTTTTTTTTTGAGACAGAGCCTCAAGCTGTCCCCCAGGGTAGAGTGCCGTGGCATTACAGCTCACAGCAACCTCCAACTCCTGGGCTCAAGCGAGTCTCCTGCCTCCGCCTCCCAAGTAGCTGGGACCACAGG